AAAACTCTTTTTCACTCGACTTCAATTTATTTTTTTTCTTTTTTTCTTTTTTGCTGTTTCTGTCTTTTCCCAAATTTCGATTTTTCGATGAATTTTAATGCAATGAAGTCCCTTTTGATTGAATTAAACCAATTTAATTAAATTAAATTAATTAATTGAATTAATTAATTAATTAGTTTATTTATTTATCTATTTATTTATTTATTTATTTATTTATTTATTTATTTGATTTTGAGTTCAGAGTTCTTTACGCGGCGCTGCAGTTTCCGGTGACTCCCGTGGCGTGTACAGACACCCGAAGCGTTTGCAGAAGAATTGTTTTTTTGAGGTCTTTGATATCTTTGGTTTGTCATTTAAATAAATAAATAAATAAATAAATAAATAAATAAATAAATAAATAAATAAATAATAAATAAATAAATAAATAAATAATAAATGATCTTTTTAGCGATTAATTGATTGATTTATTCGTTAAGTGCGAAGCAAATCAATTAATTGCCAAAAAGGAAAATCAAAAATCAAAAAAATTGAAAAAATAAATCCTCAGAAGGCCAAATAAATATAAATAAGAATTTAATTTAAATATTAATCAACTTAAATATTTATTTATTTATTTATTTATTTATTTATTTATTTATTTATTTATTTATTTCTTTATTTGTTTGTTTGTTTATTTTAAAAGTATTTAATTGCTTTTTGTTAAATTGCTTTTAGTGTATTTGATTGTTTCTTCGCTTAAATTGTTTTGAATTTATTTGTTTTCAATTAAGTTGCTTTTTAATTTATTTAATTTTTTAAAATTATTTTTTATTTAATTTATTTTATTTAATTTCATTTTAAGATTTAGTTGTCTCCATTATTCAAGTGTCTCCTTTTATTATTAAAATGCTTCTTTATTTACTTCTCTCTTTATTTATTTGTCTTCAATTATTTATTTTTTCCGAATTAAAAAAAGTTTTTTATTTTTGTTCTTTTAAGTATTTAAATTTAAAATAAATAAATATTAAAATAAAATCGGAGTTGAAAAGCTTCTACCTGGCAGAGGCAGCTGAAGACCCTAAAAGCAACAAAATTCAGCTTTTAATTCAAAGAAACTGCTGCTGCTGCTGCTGCTGTTGCTGCTGCTGCTGCTGTTGCTGCTGCTGCTGCTGCTGTTGCTGCTGCTGCTGCTGCTGCTGCTGCTGCTGCTAGTGCAGGTCGAGAACTGTCCCTTCATTACAGCAAATGTGGGGGCGAAGTTCTGCAGGCTGATGCAGCGGGTCCTCAGGCTGGAGCCGCAGCAGCCGGTAGGCTAGGGTTTAGGGTTTAGGGTTTAGGGTTTAGGGTTTGGGGTTTAGGGTTTAGGGTTTAGGGTTTAGAGTTCAGGGTTAGGGTTTAGGGTTTGGGTTAGGGCTTTGGGAGTGTTGTACTTAATAGAATTGGGCGGTTAGGGTTTGGGGTGTAGAGTTCAGGGTTTAGGGTTTAGGGTTTAGGGTTTGGGGTTTGCGTGTGCTTGGGGCGCAGGTGGAGTCTATGGATCTTATTCTTAACTATGACATCGTTGCCGAGTAACTCTAAACCCTAAACCCTAAACCCTAATTTCCAGGCTCTTTTGCAGCTGGCCTGCAGTAGACTCAGCCTTGAGGCTAGGGTTTAGGGTTTAGGGTTTAGGGTTTAGGGTTTAGGGTTTAGGGTTTAGGGTTTAGGGTTTGCGTCTAGGTGCACCCGTCAGATGATGGCTCCTCTACATCACCTCATCCGGCAGGCCTCTACAAAGCCGTTGGATTTGAGAGAGCAGGTAGGGTTTAGGGTTTAGGGTTTAGGGTTTAGGGTTTAGGCTTTGGGGTGTAGGGTTTAGGGATTTGGGTTTGTGGTTTAGGGTTTGGGGTTTACGGTTTGTCCTTTAGGGTTTACGGCTTACGGTTTCTGGTTTAGGGTTTGGAGTTTGTGGTTTATGTTTTAGGATTTGTGCTGTAGGGTTTAGGGTTTAGGGTTTAGGGTTTAGGGTTTAGGGTTTAGGGGATGCCTGTTTTTTCTGCCTGTGGAGGGTTTTATTAATTTCTGTTTTTAAATTTGCACCAGCATTCTTCTATCCGCCAAATTAGGGTTTAGAGGGAAATTAATTAAATAATTAATTTTAACTTTTATTTCTTTTTATTTATTTATTTATTTCATTAACAACTTTTCCATATAAAATAAAATAATTAATTTTAACTTTTATTTCTTTTTATTTATTTCATTAACAACTTTTTCACTTTCTCTGCATTTGCCTAAACTAAACATATGACTGGTTATTTATTACGTGATAAATTAGTTAAGGAATATTGTTAATTAATTAATTAATTAATTAATTAATTAATTAATTAATTAATTAATTAATTAATTAATTATATTGCATTAACTGATTAATTAAACTTATTTAATATCAATTAATTAATTAATTAGATTTATTTATTTATTTATTTATTTATTCATTTATTCATTTATTTATTTATTCATTTATTTAATTTCAAATTTGTGC